CGCCGCGAATAAACACGAGCGAGTCGCCCACGAGCGGCCTTCAGGCACTGCGGCCGTGCCCGGCCGTGCGGGAGCCGAGCCCAGGTGATTTTCCCCGGGACCCCGGGGGAAGGAGTGGGCTCCGGGAAGCCGGCGGGAGAGGCTTGGGCTCCCGGTGCGGTGTGCCTGTGCTTGTCCGGCTGCGGTGGGGAGGAGGGAGGCCAGGAAAAGGGGTGCTCTTCTGGTCTCCCAGTGTCCCCACCCAGAAAAAAAAGTCATCACTTCACTGAGAAGGGAGAACAAGGTAGTGTCAGTCGGGGAAATGACGCGCGGAAAGGATAAGCCTTTCTGAAAGGAGGAGGCAGGGTAGGGATGTTGGATGGATGTAATGGGGGTCCGTTTGCTTGTATTTCCCCGGGGAGGAAAGCGATACAACTCATTGGGACAGACCGACGAGTTGGTCAAAGGGCTGGAGATGAGTAGCAGAAGGCTCAGGAGCACGGCGAAGTATCATGCGGTACATTTAAAGAGATCTTGGAGGAGTCAGAATAGAGAACCGTTGTCTCCCTAAGAGCAAGCTGCACTTCCAGAGTAACTCACATCCCCTCTCCCCGGTACAAGAGCGAATTTCCATCTGCCCGGAGAGTGCTTGCATAGGGCTGATTGTAAATAACCACGTACAGAAAGATATACACTCCTCATCACCGCGCACACGCGGGGCTGGGGACAGGGCGGAGAGAATCGGTATGCGCTTGTCTGCATATTTTTATGTCTGAGAGGTCCCTATAGAGAGACAAAGTGGGTAGATTTCGGGTTCATTTTGGAAACAAGAGTTTTCTAGAAGTGAAATGCAGGGAGAGTCACACACAGAATAAACACGTAAGGTTTCCTTCTCACCCCCATATATATAAACACAACCAATGACACTGGACAAACTCGATAAACCGAGCAGAGATTTTCCAACGAACTCCCTCTCGTAATGGCTGTGTAGTCCTCCCAAGCTATTGAAACGCTGTTGGGTTGTTCTATCTACCTTTGATTTCACTTTATTACGTCTCCAGCAGATTAAAACTGTCAAGAACGAAAAGTATTCAGTGGCGTAGGTTTCTCGCATCCTTTCAGTGCTAAAACGCTTCTGTTCAGGAGGAGAAAGCTATAAGACATATATTACTTTTCGGTGATCAAACAGCTTTGGAAAGAGTGAATATCTGCTAAATTTCTGAAGAGAATAGGGAAGATTTTTAAATGTTAGTCTTTTTTTGGTTTTGTTTTTTGTCCTTTTTAAAGCAGAACTTTTTAATACATTAATTCGTGATTTAACGTTCATTAAATATAACGAAACACTAAAATTTCAATTTAACATTAAACCATTAATGATAAGTGACGTGGACACAAAAAATATGTAGAAAAATCTCCAGGGTGTCGAAGCACTAAAAAGAGTTTTCCGTTAAGAGGGACCCAATCGCTATTAGTAGCAGAGTAATTCTTCACTGACCCTCGGCAGTATCCAAAAGTGAAGGGGGAACAAAATTAATAAAACCCAAACAAAAAGTCCAAGTGGCACAATAAATACATTTTGTTGTTGCTGTTTTTTTTTTTTTTTTTTTTTTTAATTAGAAATACTTTAGCGGTCTGATTCTTCTTACTCGGAAGAAAGAGGGAAGAGGAAGGTTTGCAGGCTGTCCTAGTGAGGATGGATCCTTTTGGCGCGGAGGGACATTTGATTTTCAAGACAAAAGCAGAGACTCAGTTTACATAAACTTTCGCCGAATCAGGATGGTTAACATTTCAATATTGAAACCCTTAACCTTGTTTTATTTTAAAGGGGGAAGAGATCAACAGGAAAAAAAAGTCTGTTTCCCACGTGGATAGGTGATTTAATGCTGTTTTTCTTACTGCAAAGGGAAATGATTGAGCATTAGGTTTCAGTGTTTATTTTCTTACAGAAGTTTTTCTCATTTAAGCTGCAGTTTACTCTCCACGCTGCATCTCTGTTTAATTCCAGGTTTGATGTGAACTTAAACTGTGAAGTGCAGAACTAAACTACTAGCATGATCGTTGAAAAAAACCAGATTTATTATTAGAAAGAATACTTAGATAAACAAAGGGGAAAATCATATTTTCTTTGGGAACATGCGGCCATTTTCATGTTGGAGGATATTTTTCAACTTGCATATAAACAGCGTGTGCATTGGCGCAAATTCTTCCTCCCCTTTTTCTTCGAAATAAGGGCTATTTGAATTTGCGTCTTCTGTAGAGATGAGTAAGTAGTTGGTGCTAGAAAATGTTCCTAATTCCCCACCCCCCCCCTCCAATTTGGGCATGGTTCCGTTTGTTTGCATTTCAAAGCGCAATTCCGTTACCCTGTGTGTGCCAAAATCCTGGTATTTCTTTCTAGAGTGAAACAGCTTCGGCATTACTTCCACTACCGTTTTCTTAATAGGGTTGTTTGTTTAGTCAATAGGGCTTTTCCTTCCTGTTATTATTATTTTTATAAAGAAAGCGGGATGCTAACTTATCTGTGCTTCAAATGAACACATGTGATTTACCGAGACAATAAATCTTTACAAAACCTTGCTAATGGCATCTGCAGGCAGTTGGAAATGAGCAGCTTTTTTTTTTTTTTTTTTTTGTTTAAATGATGCTTAGTTCTATTTCAGTCTCACGACG